CCGCGTTGTAGCGACGTGTTGCGCTGCGACGAGGCGTTACGACAACGTGTTGCGATGTGACGACACGTGGCAGCGACACGTTGCGCTGCGACGATGTGTTGCAGCAGTGTGTCGCAGCGACACATGACTGCGTGACGATGTGTTGCAGTAGTGTGACAACTCGTTGCGGCATGGCAACCTGCTGCTTCTGCGTGACATAGTGGTGCATTGTGGCAGCGCGACACGGCGGGGCAACGTATGGCGGTGGCGTGTTGCGGTGGGGCGACACGTTGTAGCGCGACACGTTGTAGCGCGTGTTGCGCCGCGACGAGGCGTTACGACAACGTGTTACGATGTGGCGACACGTGACAGTGACACATTGCGTTGTGGCGATGTGTGGCGGCAGTGTTTTGCGGCGACACATGACTGCGTGACGATGTGTTGCAGTAGTTGTTGTGATGACGTGGCGCATTGCAACAATGCGTCTCTATGTGATGACGTGTTGGGGCGATGCGTTACAGTGACGCGTTGAGGCAGTATATCGCGGCGGCGTGTTGGTGAAGCATCGCAGTCGCACGATGCGTTGGATGTCCAATGTCTTGAAAGAAGGTAGGGGTGGAGTCCTCAACTGATTCAGGATTTTTCAGAAGAAAACCATTATGCGTAGTGGTGAAGAGTTGCAATGCAGAGTTGCGGCAAAGAGTTGCGGTGCCGAGTGAGGGTGAAGAGTTATAGTGTGGAGCTACGGTGCAGAGTTGCGGTGCCCAGTTGCAATGCAGAGTTAAGGCAAAGAGAAAAGTCGTCCTCGTTTGACGTTGTAGGCAAGCAACGAGATTTTTTTTCTCATTGCGGTGTAGTTCAAAGGTGATGAAGAAATGTTGTAGTTTTTTTAATCATCTGATGTAACATTTACAGATGATGATAATGTATTTCTTTGTAAGTTTTTGACGTTGCAGTTTTTGACGTTGCTTCTGAGGTTGTAAGTTTTTGACGTTGCTTCTGAGGCTTTTGCTGTTCAGGCCTTCCGAGGTTGTGTCCTCTCGGACTTATGCCTTATAGGAGCTTGAACTCGTATCTTCTGTGGCTTGTTGCCTTCCGAGGTCTTCGAGTAGAGACTCTATCAACCACTTGCTCTCATGGAGTATTTCTAGTGAGGACCCTGTCCACTGCTAGCATCCTATCGAGATTTGCCTCTTGGGCTTGTCTTCTAGGGGCATGTAGCTTCTCTTTGAGTCTTGCCTCTTGAGCTTGACTTTCAAGGGCATGACTGAAAAGAGAATCCAATAAGGATGTAAGATCAGTTCTGAGTTGTATAACCGGAGATGCTCGACGGTATTAACTCGTAATGAATAGAGTCATATGAAATCTACTGAGGATGGTTGACCTATCATAGGTTGTTGGTCGAAGCTTTTGCTTAACGACCGTACCTGTCATAGAAGAGGTTAAAGAAAAATATCAAAAAAAATCCACCAAGGATTTTTGACT